TATATATATATATATATATATATATATTTCTATAAAAAATGTTTGACCAAAGTAGGTCTGCAGCTATTTCAACTCCTTCCAGTTTCCAGAAAGAGCTGTGGATGATTTACTGGAAATTAAGAACCTGCTGCTGTTTTCACAAGATTTCACATACTTTCAGACTACAGGAGATCAGATTTTAGTCAAAAACCATTTTGACAGGAAGCATCTTCTGCGAAATTCTAAAAAGGAAAAGGATCTCCGCGTAGCTGGTCATTTAAATAGATACACCGATCCATTTACTTAAACGTCAACTGCCTGTATTTTTTCAGGCAGCCAGCCAAATGAATGCATAATTAGGATGTAGATGTAGTGTTTGCGTGTGTGTATGTTAGGCGTATTCAAGAGTCTAAACACTAGTTTCCTCATGTTAGAATTTAAAAGGCAGAAAAACACACAAATATAAATTTTTGATTTATATCTTCACACTGCTTGCCCTTTCAGAGGCTTCCAGCTAATATCCTACCTTGTGTAATATTCGTACAAAACACACGGCAGAGAGTTTTCTAATCGCATCCGACACGTTCAACACTGGTATACCTCTTACCAGCCAGCCTTGAAAATGCATTTGTTTTCGCTTGTATGTTTTGTTCAAGGGTTCTGTTAAGACCCGCAATGTTTTGTACTTGTTGACTTAGTTTGATAGGAGTATTAAAGATCACTTTGGAGTTAGCCACATCTAGAAGTGATTATCATATATGTGGCTCTTGCAAAAGGAAAATAAAAATAGTGGTTAATATTAATAAGACTGTTTCCACACCATACAGGCAGTGATTCTTTGCATTGTCTTTTTAAATCCAAGTATACTGATACTGTCCGTAAGATTTTTCCCAGTTGGAAAGCACTTGGTTGTACCAGTAAGTGTTTGATGAAACGGGACGATTTTTGAGAAGTTTGTTGCTTCTGTTTCCATAGCCTGTCTAGGTAGGTTGTACGTTTGGGTGTTAGATATGGAATTTTTTTTTTACAATTGACTGCCTAAAAATCTCTTTTTAAACGGTCAACTGCACCCCTCTACCCCATAGCTCAGAAAATCCAAGGTGTTCAAATTCATCGGGATTTCTTTTTCTTTATGAAAGATTACAAAGTCAATTGTTTCATATGAAACTTTATAATAATCATACCAAATGTGCCTATTATTAGAGATTTGCATATAAAGATATTAGGGGACAATTGTTTGAGTTCCCTTAAAGCTCACCAGAGTTTATTTTTATTAGAAAATATTTTTAATATAAAATAATTATGTAATTGATCTTGCTAGATCACATTGATTTCAGTGGGTGAGGAGAATGGAGGTCTCACTGTTTTAAGTATTTTCTTAAGAAATTATTTGGTGAAACAAATAACGTTTTACAAAACTGTTAATCATCCTTTGGCTTTTCATCGACTGACTTTGCTTTAGACATGGTCATTTACTCTTAATAAATTATTCATTAGAGAAATGAGTCCTATATAGAGCTGGTCACCTACATTTGATGGAGGTCACCAGATATCAGGGACAGGAAACAATGCTATTCAAATCACTCAGAAAAGAATTTTAAATCATACCGACTATTTGACTATTCCAAAAGAATTAATAGCCAGGCCAACCTGACTTTTTCCCAGTTTTCAAAATAATTTTAATCAAGTAACTCAACTGGGACAAAATTTGTTTTTATCTTTTGTTATATTCATAGCAGCATGAAAAAAAAATAATTGAAGGGCAGCCATGTTTGTCTCCTACTCTGTTTCTCTATACTGTATTCATAGATTTTTTTAGTATGATTTATCATTTATTTTCCCCCAAAAACAGTGAAGTTTTATACTTCTCATTGAAATAATCCTAGAGAGTTTAAAAGGAATAAACCACTATTCCGTGCTTTTAAGGAGTTTTTTTTAGTTTTTTCATACGAGTATCAATAGTTTGACTGAGGAATGTATGTCTATCTAAACTCCTGAAAAAAGCGATACAGACTGGAAACAAATCCAGAGAAATGGAGTGTTCAATAGATAAAAGGAATGATAAAGGGAAAATCCCCTATAATGAAATCTAATTCAGTCCAGTCTAATGTTGGACTATGCATTTCCCCTTTCCATAGTTGCATCGTGAATGAAGGGTCCAGGATTCACGATGCTGAGGCTCCTTCCTCGAGGAAAAAAGTTTGTCTGAAAATGCTCAGGATAGTAAGAATCTAATCCCACAAAACTAAACACTCCGGATTCAGTGTCACTAAATAAAGGGAGCCCAGAAGAAAATGACATCTCTTTCTTCTGGAACAGAAAAGGCCAAATTAAGCCCTGCCTTGTTGTTTAAAGGTTTCAGGGCATTGTTTTAATTTGTTCAGTAAATTCAATGTCCTTTGCCTTCCTGTGGAAACAGTTTTATCCCATGAAACTAAGAATGAAGGGATTAATCACAAACAAAAATAAAGTTGCAGCACTGAAAAAAATGTAATTTATTGTTTTTGCGACTGGTATGTGAATTTGTGTGATAGAAGTATTTATTCTTATTTAACAAAAATATGTGCAAATTCTATATTTAAAAAGTTTTGCTGTTGTCCTACTTTTAATTTATGCTTCATGTTTGTGTATAAAGTACACTTTGTGAGTTTACATAATATACAGCACTGGTTGCTTTTGTATTTTTTTACAGAAGGCTTTCTGCGTGAAACAGGTGTATATGTATATATTCCTCACGTATCCTTATTCTGATACTGTAGTCTTCCTCTCTAAGGAAGTTTTAAACTTACTCTTTCTTGACTAGTGGTAATCGTTACTTGTAGTTACATTAATAAGTCTGTTGGGTTTCATTAATACTAGTTTTTCCAAGTCACAGATAAGAAAAACACTTATTCAAGCAACTGAAGCCTAAGTTCTCAACTTGGTGTATAGATAGCCTGGAAGCTTCCCACAGAAGCTAAGACACAGTTCAGAATCCCTGATACCAGTGATAAACGCGGACAGGGAGCTGTTGATACGTGAAATTTGTGTGCACACGATGTCCCAAGAGCTATCAGTGATGATAAAACCAAATACTGTCCTTTGCTGCTTTAAAAACACTCCTTAAAAATTAATACCATTTTTTCTCTAGCATTGGCGGGATCCTATAGTTAGAGTAAACAAATTGCATTTAAGTGATTTAAATACTAGTAATCATGAACGTTGCTACAAATACGGGGTCTCCGTCGATAGAATGTCACTTTGTACTACTAATGAATCTCACCGAGTGAAAATAGGACTTGGGACAAGCAAGGACATCTTTTATCACATCAGCTTGCCTCTGACTGATTTCAGTCTGGTCACAGTAATAAGGCAAAGCACCCTTGGATATACAACTGACCAGATCTATCTCTGGCTCTGATGTTTCCCCCACTGACTCATTCCTTAATAACAAGGTCATTGTAATGGTTTAGGTGAGCACAGCAGCCAGATTGAATGAAGTCCAGGACTTGTGTATGACTTAGAGGTCACTCTTTGTGAAACAAGATTGGATTTAGTAATGGCCAAATTTTGCTAATAGTTTATGGCTGAGGATTGGTCAATATTACCGACCTATTTATGATTAAGTGGAGGTGATAAAAAGACCTCATTTTTTTTAACATTTCAAAGTTAATACATGAATAACCATGAGTATAGAAATGGTCATCCAGAGCTATCATAGAGCCAGTCTATCATTTAAACACACAGGAAAGGAACTTGTATGTTTTCTCTATCATTTTTCTCATTTGCCAACACCTATAGTTTTAGATTGTCAGACAGACCATTTTAGGTAATTAGTACACTGAAAAAAACCCAGAAAACTCCCTAATAGCCTCCTTGCTAGCATGAACTAGAGAAATGACGTCTGAAGTTATAGGATCATGAAACACATCAGTCTATAATGCATAATTATATTCTAATCAGTTAGCGCATGGGAACGTATTGAAACAAGAACCCGTTACATTAGTGAGATAAAGAAACTGGAAATACACATGATGTTCAGATCAGAAAAGTATTCATCTGCCAAATGTCTTTCTGGTGTAATGATACCATAGTTCTCAATGCAGATTTTATGGGGAAAATAATGAAGGTATAGTTGCTAGAAGTTGTTGGTTTTAAAAGAGAGGAAGACTGAAATGTACATATTAGCCAACCCAGTTAATTGCACCTTCCAAATATAGTAGCACTTTAGTGATAAATTGGCTACCTGTGGTTCTTATCCTGGAGCTCCACCAACTGGTCCATGTGGACTGTCATAGGTCAAATGAAAAACCAAATGGCCCATCATCTTATAAGGCACGGCCACATCAGAGTGATCCAAAGTCTAACACTGT